TTTTTTTTTTTTTTTTTTTTTTTTTTTTTTTTTTTTTTTTGCTGTTGAGCAGTATTACGACAAATAATTTCATTAATAGGGCGCGTTTATGTGAAGGTTTAAATAGATGCAATTAAATAATAATATTATAAAATTTATCATTTCATTAATATATTTTTTTTATAAAATACTACAACATAATGTTTGCTATCTTAAAAAGATTATTCTGAGATGTATAAATAAAAAAGAGATAATTAATATTATATTAAAAAATATTTATTTTACAGCTTATTTTTAAAAAATGTGACATTTATTATACGATTGATATAGTATTGGGACTATAAATTTATTGTATATGAAAATAATGTAAAAAAGTTTTCAATGTTGCCGCCTAGTAGGACTTGATGTAATTGAGAAATGAGTCAAAAGACTGGTTCGTGACTCTTGACTCATCAAAATTTGACTCGACTCTCACCAAGCGATCGACGTAATAAATTGAGAATTTCGAAAAGTTACGTAAATATTACTCCAACATTATAATTTTATACGCATTTCTTTTTATACAGCAGCGGGGTTAAATTATTTTAATTGGAATAATAAATAATTTTTTAAGTAACTAAATTATTTTTTTTTTTGAAAAATATATTGAATTTTTAGTCTCATTTATAGTAATGATTAAAAATATATTTAATATATTAAAATGACATAATTGTTATTTTACATATAAAAGTTTAAGCTTGATAATCTATGTAGTTTAGGTCATTTTGAGAATTCAGATAGGTTCGTGTAACCTTATAATAAGGTAGAGAATTAATAGAGATGAGACTCGTGCATGTTTGCGGTGGGTAAGGTGTTATAATACATATTTCCTTTTTTGTTTCTTAAGAAAAAACTCGCCCCTAGATTCATACTAAGGTGCTCAAACACCCATACCTAGACGACTATCTCACATTTATTAAACGAAAGTATTATTTCAAATTCAAATTAATTATAATGATGAAGTTCTTATACCACAGACGAAACTACAAAATAAAATACTCACTTACTATAACGACTTAACATTTGATTACCCTCTGTAAGTATAATATTTCTCAAACGAAAATTACACTCATAGTATATAGGCTTTTGTGAATTTATACTAATTCGTAATCCGTGCGATATACATACTTATTTTTTAATAAACTCAAAATATATTAATATATTATTAACTTATAATATGTTGTTTTTTAATTACAACAGAAAAAAATATTGTATCTTCATCCACTAATTATAAAGCCTAACATATTACTATTTGATAACTAACCATATTCAAATATGTGTAAATCATAATATATACAATCATAACCTATAAAACAAATTGAGCTAATTTTGCACTTCAAATTAAAGACATAATTATTGTATCAATTTTTCAAAAATAAATATAAAACAAAATTAGAAGATTGAAATTTAATTAAGAGCCATTCAAATCTTTCAAGTAGACATAATTTTAGCTTCAATTTTTCAATGAGAATTTGAGTTTACAATATGAACTTTTCAATTTTTTTTTTAAGTTTTTCATCACACAATATTTTTTTTTTCAGTTTTCAGATGGGTTTCTCCTTTTTTATTTTTCTATCTCTTCTTATTTCACATGCAAATCTTTTAACGTCGTTATCAATTATGATCAAATATTATTGATATATTTATTATATGAATTCACTCTTAAATATATAAAATAATTTTTAAAATGATAATAAATTATGATGAATAAAGATTATCTTAAAATTGGGAGTTTAAAACAAAAATTCAATATATAACTAATTCAAATAAATAACTAATTATTGAAGTTCTTTTCAAAAGTTACCCTTATAGAAAAAATGTCCCATTACTTTTTTTCCATTGCAAGATGTGATCAAAGTATAGAAAAATTAGTAAACAAAAATATTCTTCTTCCAAATTTTTTAAATTGACATAACTTGCTAATAAATTATGCATAACAATAAAAATAAACTAATTAAACATAAAAAATATTAATTTTGTTATTTATTTACATTACTATTTGTGTTATACATGAAAATTGTCCACAAAATTTATTTATTGAGAACATTGAAATCATTAGTTAGATGGAGAAGGGGTTAAGGAGGCACAAATCTTTTAATTATTTAACACGATAAATAAAGAATTTTACATGGTTTGATGCATAATTATCTGTCATTAAATAAATAAATTGAATTGATTAGTTAAGAGTTGTATACAGAAAAACATTTAATAAAGAGTAGTTGTAGTAGGTATATGGAGTATTATTAACTCAAAAATGGGCTGGAAATAACAATTGGAGAACTACTTCAATTCCTCCAACTTTTTTAAATTGACATAATTAACTTGCTAATGAATTATACATAACAAAGAGAAAAGACTAATTAAGCATACAATTAAAAAACTATTATTATTATTATTTACATTACTATTTATGTTGTATTGAAAATTGTTCAAAAATTTATTTCTTGGGAACATGAAAATCATTTAAAGATAGTTAGATAGAGGAGGAGTTAAAGAGACTCAAATCTTTTAATTATTTAAATGAAGAGTTTGATATGGTTGCTTGTATAATTAACTTTTATAAATTTAATGAATTGAATTAATTAGTCAAGAATTGTAAATACAAAAAAATTTAATAAAGAGAAATTGTAGTGAATATATAAAGTATTAAATAAAAAATGGGCAAAAAATTATAATAAAAAAACTGCTCCATTTTATAAGTTATACATAACAAAGAAAAAAAAGGCTAATTAAGCATACGATTAAGAAAATATTATTTTTGTTATTTATTTACTATTTGTGTTATATTGAAATGTCCACAAAATTTATTTGTTGGAAACGTACAAATTATTTAAAGCTAGCAAGATAGAGGAAGAGTTAAAGAGGTTCAAATCTTTTAATTATTTGGCACTCTAAATGAAGAATTTGACATGGTTGTATGCATAAGTAATTGCTATTAAACAAATAAATTAAATTAATTAGTTAGAAGTTGTAACCAAAAAACATTTAATAAAGAATAATTATAGTAAATATATAGAGTATTAAATGAAAAATGAGTGAAAAATTATAATCGAAGAACTACTTCCACTTTATATATATTAAGATAATATGTTTTATTTTATTAACGTGCAATTTTGTTATTATATAATTGGTATTTGTTATAAATATTAGTGGAAGAAGAGGCATTTCATAGTTCATACCATCTTAATCGTTAAAAAAAATTAAATTTTTTTTTTGAAGATAATAATTGAAATAGTATGAAAAGATTTCTAATTTGTTAAACTTTTTCAAAAATAAAAAATAAAATAAGAGAGATAATAATGAATTCAATGATTATAGAGTGTGAAGAACTTATTAATCTTGTGAGAAACTTGATTATTTTAAAAAAATTTCTCAGATAAGTAAAAATTGTAATGATCTAATTAAAAACTGAGACAAAAGCAATATTATATATATTGTACTATCCACACTATGGAGTTGAGTTCCGAGCTCGGCACCGTAGCACAGAATGACCTCGGGCACACGCCACGTGACGCCAGCTCGGTATTTACATGAATCATAACTGATCCCCGAAGATCTCGCCCCAGACGAGGTCCATTATCTAATCATATTATATCTTATCTCAGGTCCAAGGCCCGAAGCAACCCTAAATCATACTAAGGTACGTGCATTACATATACGAGACTATTACTCATACAAACCCTAACTTTAGCATCGGAGTCTCTTTTGCAGGTACCACCCCCATCTTGGAGCACCAGCGTACCCGTGACGGAGGCTCACCAATCTTACTAGGAAGCTCGTCCCTACGACAAATTCCGGTAAGAACATTTGGCCCCCACCGTGGGGCCGATCCAGACAGCTCTTATCGGCCACCCGTATGGTATTCACCAGAAGCCATAGCAGACGAGTAACAGACGAAGCTGAACACTCAATCACCATGAACAGCGACGCTGCAACCTTGAGAAGACTGATCGACCAAATCGAACAGACACGACAGCGACATGACATTAACCTGCGCAACATACATGCCAAGCGCGAAGCCGACTTGGCGGCAGTACGGACGGCCAACGCGGCGAACCTCGCAGCATTACGCGAGGAAAACGAGCGCATTCGCGCCCAACTCCAGCAGCGACACTTTGATCACCCCTCCGGCCTTCAACTCAATCCCAGCGGAGCATTGCAAGGCCAAGCAAACCAGGAAGCAGGATCAACTCCCCTACGGGAAATGGTCGGCACGATTGTAGGAGGTTTCGCAGGAGGAGGCGCCAGCAGCTCGGCCCGGAAAAGGCACCTGCGCAACGCCAACCACGTGCACTTCACTACCTCTGCCTCACATCAGAGCTCGCCGACGATCACCTTCACCGGCAACGACTATGCCGGGGTCTACCCCAACCAGGATGACCCCATGGTTATAGTCGTGACGTTAGCTAATTGGGAGGTTCACAAAACCCTGGTCGACCAAGGGAGCTCGGCCGACATCCTATATT